TACTTTTAAGTTTTAACCCTTTTAAGTGAAAACATTTATTACCTTAAAGAAACCAAAAAATAAAGGAGTATTATGAGAGTACACTAAAGGCGAACACTATTTTGGTCTCCCAAAGACCACTTATCAATCATGACACTATATTCTGTTTCAAATACTCAAAAATTTGAAATAAGACAAATTAACTACATCAGGACTGAAAAATAATAAGGTAAGTTAGTCTCTATAGCCGATAAAATAATAGCTGAATTCCTACTGTATCAGTTAAACACCAACGTTGTCTAATTTACCAGTTCACTAGTTTCCTAGCAAGTTCTGAAAAGGTTGAAGTGCAGATAGCGATAACACAACAGAAGATCAACCAAACATCACAGAAACTTAAAAGAACAGTAAAATTTGAAAAATTAGCCCACTCTTCACCAGAATCGGAGAGATAAAATCACACGGGATATTGAAAACTTCCAGAAAAACAGTCAGTCGATGTACCTCCTTCCAATGAAAGCAAAATTAAACACAGCCATATGCAACATCCTCATGATGTTCGAGGCTGGGAAGGCTGCTCAGACTGCAGAAGAAATGACGAGAAAATGTGGTATGGAAGTGGTGTGAATGTGTGAGAGCAGGTGGAATGTGAGCAGACTCGCCAAATCGTCAACTGGAAAGTCTGTAATCTACTGAAATCATCCGGACGACAACGACGGGAACACTGATCGAGTGGCTATCATGATGCTGCCAACAGAATGGTGAAAACACTCATTCAGTGGGAAGCAATCTCCTCCAGGATCATGGGAACGAGATCCAATGAAGTGAAGTCAAGGCGAAGGGAAGGGAAGTTACAAATCTGAAATGCCACACACCCCTGCAAACAACGTAGACACACTGGGGACGAATGAAGATTTCTAGAGAAAACTGTGAACAGTAATTGACAAGAACCCGGTCAGGTGATGACATCAAAGTCAGTCACAAAGGGTGGTATGGATGGAGTCGAAATTGGGAGGAGACAACACAGGAGGAGATGTGATCATGGGACGAGAGGGTCTCGGGGAAGTGAATGACGAGGCAGAACTCTTCCGAGAATTGAATGACTTGGTGATGGGAGGCAGTGTGTATAGGAATGAGGTCATCCAGGAGGTGACACGCGTTCCCCCAAATGGACACACCGAAAGTCAGATAGAATTCATCTCAATATCAAGAAAGTAGAGACTCAGTCTGCTGCACACAATTGAGATGATGAGCAGATGCAGACTCAGATCATCATCTAGTGCAAAGGAAATTCAGGGTCGAGTTGAGTGCTTTCAAAGCAGCTGGAGATGATATATCACGATCCCAGTTCAACACTCAGAAACAAAAGGACAAAACTACAAGGGACACACTTTCATTGCAGTCATGAGGGAAGCGTCGGAGACACTAAGCAGAATCACCGAGGTAACCAGTGTGGCGAATCACTAGAACTCGCCGAAAGTGAAGTTGACGGAAATCTGTGCAGCTTTCTCAGGAAGATCGAAGAGGCAGGACGAGGAATGGGCGTCTGCTGACACGTTGAAGCTAGTAGAAGAGAGGAGGATGGTGAAAGAGAAGATGAACCAGTGCAAAGGTGGACAGTGGAAGGCGAATCTGAGTTTGATGTAGAATGCAGTGAATAAAGAAGTGAAGAAGAGTGTTGTGAAGGATAACAGACAATTCAGTAAAAGTAAATCATATGCTGATCAAATCGCAACACTGTGCATGAATGTCGAGCAGAGAATAGAATGTCAGTCAAGTCTCTACCTCAACTTCATCGTCTTTGCAAAGGTCTTCGATTGCGTCGACTGTAAAGCAATTTACATCTGCTTCAACACTACGGAATACGTTAGCTGAAACGCTAGTAAATCTCATTCATCAGGTAGCTGTATGATGATACCACATAAGAATTGATTCACAATGGAAAACTTGAGGCCTTGGAATGAAGACAAGGATGGTTTATTTCACTGATTATTATGATTATTATTGTTTCCTTTAATTCCTAGACGAACATAAGGCTTCAGCCACACGTCTCCATTGCGTTCGGTTCTCTGCCAGCGTTTTCACTGATGACTTTCATTAATATGGTGGACTGGATCACGCGACAGGCCATGGGGTAGAGAGAAGGCACAGACAAAAAGACGGCATAATCCTCAAGATCCGGATCTTCAACACTAATGTTGAATCAGTGCCTCTATACGATTCAGAGACTTTGGGCAAGCGTCACCGAAAGTATTTCCTATAGGCTTCAGATTCTTATAAACAGATGCCTTCGGTTGACAATGAAGATCAGATGGTCGGTCAGAAAGCATTAGCAGCAATTGATTCTAGCAGGCTACGAACCAACCGAAAACCTATTGCTCAAGAAATATTCCTAAGGAAGTGGAGAGGGATAGGACACACACTGAAATTATGAATAAATATCTGTCAAGGTGCTTAAAAGCTTATTGGCTGCTTAGTGACTTCTTTATTTTCCTCAATGAAAACTTTTCAGTGTAGTTATCTTATCTTATTCACGTCTTCATTAGTTACTAACAAAAGTATATTTTTTTATACGAAAACCACCTTAATTTTTCATGTGTCACACAATCTATGTAATGAAAGAAATTGGATAGTAACTTCGATTTGGAAACAAATTGCTAGAAAGAAGTGGTCATATTTGAACTATTAATATTTGTTTACTTTTACTAATTGTTTGAGAAATATTATATAAAGTCTGAATATTTGTAGCAATATACACTAAGGGTTTTAGTGACTTCATAGGAATATTTTGCTTAACAAGTCAATTCCTATTGTTGTTTCTAAATTGCTCGTCTTTGCAGAACTCTCAGGGATGCAACTGTCTTTAACAATCAATCAAGAAACTATCGTTTGTTAATATATGTTATGATTATCTTTTGATCATCCAAGTGTGAAGAGATGTTTCTAGTTTAATCAACTAGTGTTAGTAAGATTTCAGATTTTTCTTCTGTCATCATATTTATAAACTAGTTTTTACATAGCTTCCCATGTAACAAGAGTAAGGAAAGTTGACAACTTGAGCGTATGAACCTTTGTTGGTTCTTCTAAAACTATTGAGACAAAAAACACAGTTATGTATGAAAGCTGCTAATACAGACAGTGGATAATAAATTAAGCTATATTAATAGGTGGTTGTAATCAAAGAGAGAATATTTCAGATAAGTCCCAAATATATAGTGACCGCAGCTTCCTATGATCCTGATACAAAATGGTTCGAAAAATATGGTACATAGTTAGCCTGCCTTCAGAAAAATGAGATACATGAAAACTCTCACAAGATGGAATCTTCATAGTCTCTTATTTTGACAGCATCTGTTAGGATGCCTGGCACGTGTGTTCCTCGATGAGGTAGCTCAGATGGAATTAGTTTGTTTAAAAGGACAAAAAATGACATCAATCCATGAATCCTCTGTCTACTGGTGTTAGTCAGGTTTATAGTTGTAGGTGGCTTAGTTGGGGTTGTACTGATGCTAAGGATAAGTGGTTTGGAATCTTCAGTTGAATAATTCATAGTAGTTCACAGTTTACCCATGTTTGCCCATCGGTGAATTTGAATATTTCCGTTCTCCTACCTGTTCTTACTTTTCAAAGTCTGTGCACTTACGAGCAAATTTCTGCTTGATTGGACATTCAGTCACAGGCATTAAATATATATATATAACAATGGACAAATAATCTGAAATATGGAAAGTAATTCTTTGTAAATTACGAAATTCTGTCTGTGGTTATGTAGCCAAAGAATTGAGTATCACGATAGCGGTTCATTAGAACTACCTACAAAATTTTCTTGAGTTTAATTTTTAGTGAATCGGGTGATACCTTATATGAGGTATTAATAAAATGAGAACTAGTTAGCATACGATATTCGTTAGACGTTCAGTATTCATAAAAATATGTGCTTAAACGCTGTCTGGGATTCATATGAATGTTTCAGAATAAGGTATTTTAAAAATATATAATATGTACAGTAAAAGAGTATAGTAAGAAATTACCCAGAATTCAGCTTTCTTTACTTTAATTCTAGGTGGCTATGATGAAGCCCACTTGTTAACAAAAACGATAGTAATAAAAAATGAAAGTGATATTTAGAAAGCTTAATGGCGTTTTTTCATGCGGGCGACGTTTATGAGAATGAGACCTGAAAAATCAATGTAGAAATTCGCGTAGAAGGGCTGTTTTGTACATCGAAAAGAAAATATGATCAGTGAAGCACAAACTATTACTTCACCTTCTTTACACAAAACTCACTGGCTTTAAGTGCATATTTCTTTTTAGCTTCAGTTTAAATCCATCGTGAAACTGTCTCTTCAAATGTTGGTGTAGTTCACTTTTTTATTCTGTTATGCTAATATGTTGAGTAAAATAAATCCTTGAGTAAAACGCAAAGTTATTCATAGGTTCGTTTTCATTTTCTCATCCAGGATTCTGCTCTCTGTTTTGTTTTATGCACATAAGGTTTGAAGCAAAAGTATCACCCTGCACTATTCAACTGAAAGCAGAAGTTACTGGGATGCTTTGATGATGAACACGTGATTACATAGAATAAATGAATTTATTTTCTTCAGAACTACGGAATAACAAAGTATACTGGTCAAAAATACAACATAAACCCTAAGGTTCAGTTTACGTGATAACATGAGAGATTTATTCAAACGAAAGGATGGATGACAAAAATTAAGTAAATGGAAATGAAATTTCAGTTTAAGTGTGAGTAAACATTTGCAGAAAGCAAAAGTAAACTACTTAAAAGTTGTAAGTAGTATCAGTCTTAAAAAGCTTTATGTTTAAGTTATCTTTTATTCAATATGTTTAGCATTTAGAAAGATCCCACTCCTAAACGCAAATTATGTTCTTATATATTTAAAAAGAACAAAATTTATTTGGTATTCTACCCACTTCTACGTCTGTTACAATTTATTTCAGCGTATGAAGTATTTGGAACTATTATTTCTTATCCTGATTCTCCATAACGATGAGTAGTCTTAATTTTCAGATGACAAGTCTGACATAGCGGTTATCTGATTGATTATTGTATTAAAAGTATGAAATTTTTCATCCATCCTATTTAGAATATTGAATAAGTCTTGAACATGTAACAGATGCTTTTCCAGCTGGAGCAATAATTCTCGAATCATTTTACCATTGACTTCTGTGATATTCAGTTTCTGCCGGCTTTCAATTGGATTAATTAAATCGGTGTAATGCAGCAAGATATTCATGGAGAGTTTTAATTCATTTGGCAGTATGTCGAATAATTCGTTAAATTCTTCCAGTAGCTCGTGTAACTTCTTCATACATGGTAATAATTCATACAGACATTTAGATATCCTCATATTTTCACTGCAATTATTAATATTACTCAAAGGGTTTTCAAAAAAACTAGATGGCTTCCTTTTCACTCTAATGCAGTCTACGGGTATATTTCTTCCTCTTTTTGTTTGTTCATCCTCTTCAATCTTTTCACTATTCCCTTCAGTATGTTGCTGGTGTTTCTTTATTTTTTGATTACGTGGTAGTTGAGACTGTTGGTTAGGTGTAAACTGATTTACTGATCCAAGTTTCTTGTTCGTTCTCCTACTACCTGTACATGAATTTTTCCGCTTTTCATGTCTGGCTCTACATGAACTGGTCAAGCGATACATTTGGTAGGCTTCTTCATTTAATGAATGTTTGCCATCAATTAAGTCATTCTGATCATGGTCCAGTGACTCTATTTCATGAGACGATGAGCAAAGAGTAGGTTTAGATCTAGGATGGGAAACATATAGAACTTCATTTACAGGTTGAACTGGTGGCGACATATTTCCTCTTGATGGCTTTATTCTACTGGTTAGATTTATTCCATCGTATGATCTCACTAGAGAGTGGTCCCCAGTATTTCCGATTAAATCTGTAATTCTTTTATCCTTTGTTAGATGGACTAGTTGTTTATTTATTTTTTCCTCAGTAATATCTGACTTCGACTGTTTTGTCGATGGTTTTTTTTCATTCAAGGAAAAATCTTGAGTTATTGTTTGGGTTTGTTCATCGATAGTTCGAACAGGTTCTGGTCTGATCGACCGATTACCCATTTACAGTGGTATAATTTTTATTTTGTGATCATCTGTCATATTATGAGAGATAATCACACTGTTATATTACATGAAAAGGAAAGCATTTTATGCTCGAAATTAAGTGTACACCATCAAGGTCATTTTCATTGAAAATCAATTAAACCATTATCCAATTACAGACATGTCGTTTCAAATGTTTGACCTTGATAGCCAGTAGTCCTAGTTTATTTCTGTCACTTCATGGTATATGATCAGTAACTTTTTTTAATCATGAGGGACTACTAACTGAAGAAAGTTTTCTGTAAAAGGGACTTACACAGAAGAATAAATTGATACTTTTGTATGACAGTAAACAACTGAAACTGATAGATATTATACGGAAGTTAATGATACAGAAGTCTTTACTCTGAAACTGAAATGTTCAAAAGACTGATGGCACAAATATTCTCTGAAAAGTCAAATTGTCAGGAGAAAAGTCGAAACAGACGAAAGAAATTCAGAGGATGAGAAGAAAATCGGTAGTTTAATCTTCGTTACTGAAATTTGATTAGTCCAATTCAGTATACTTCAAATGTGCGATAGTCAACACAAAACGCTTTGACTGAGTGACTGTCATTTGTGTCACATCTTCACATATAATGTAACTTTATATGAAAGTTTAATCCTGGTAATTTGAGATAACAGTACTCAGTTTTAAGTTGTAATCATTCGAAAAATAAAGATGAGAAACGAATGAAAAGGGGAATAACATTTATGTAATGATAGGTAAACACATAAACAGCAAATTAACAAACCAGTCCCAATACTATAAGAATAAAACTTGTGCACTGTGGTAGAGTGTAATTCCATTATGGGTAAATTTTATTTTGATAAAGTCTCACAGTGTTATACAGTAATGTCCCGATACTTACAGTAACGAAGGGCCATTAAAGGAAGGGAAGAAAATACAAGAAGAGGCAGGATCTAAGCCAGCTGACAGATAGGATAAAAAGTAAATCAATATCATAGTGTCGTCATCAGACTTCATCTAGGATATTTAACTTTTTTCAGTTTGTACTAGATCAGTTATTCTAATGTAAAGCACATATTTTCTGTTTCAACTTAAAACAGCCGTATGTAGACTTCAGGTGTAATAACTTCATACGATTCTTCCCATTATTCAACTTCAACAAAGCACAAACGACAAACGCGCGAGGATAAATTAAACTCATTTTTTATTATTTAGGGGGTTCTTCTCAGCTGGCTGTGGCTTGTTTTGCGATGACAATGAGTAATAGATAGAAACTAGGGGCAACATAAGTTCGGGAGGATGTAGGTTGTTAAATTATTAGGAGTGAAAAGGGTTGATTATTTACAGGATAATTAGACAAATTGTTATAAATGAATTGAACTGAGTAAATCCGTTGCCAATTTGTTATATCTGCGCTTGTTAATTACTATAACAGTACTGAACTCGACTGGTACGCTAATACGTCTCTTTGTCCGTTGTACCTTCCGATTCACTGAGCTACTCAGATATCAAAAGACAAAGGCTGGCCTGTGACTGTAGGATATTGTATTATACATTTCTAGGAAAGAATATATAATATTTATACATTTTCTTTACCATAATAAAGTCGGCTAACAACCGTGGGAATGGATTTATCTTATTGGCTGTAAATGTCTATTCTGATTGGTTGCTGATCCTATAAAGACCAAGGTGAGATAAAAGACGATGAACTGATCATACACTAAATCACAATATGCGTGAGAAATGATAGATCAATATAGTAACTCCATGACAAGATAAATCATAAGATTCGTGAGAAAGGATGATATGCTATTTTATGCTGGGTCCTATCACAAATACTGTTGCGAATAGAGAGACAGGGTGGTGAATCTTGCACTACCTAGCTAATTAAACTTACATAACAAAGTGTGGAATTTCATTACGTCATGTATTCTATTATATCTTCAGTCTTGTTTGAAAACTTTTACTGTTTAACTTGGACATTACTTACTCTACCCCCTTTTCTGCTATTTAATAAAAACATTTTCTGTAGTTGCCTAGGCTATTATATTGTTACACTCTTCCTAGTAAAACTTTATTTCTACCCAAGAATTTTGAACTCAGTTCTCAATAGTGTTGGTCTAACTATCTTATAAATAGTCAATCCCAGTACATTTATCTCTCTTGCTTTGTCCTGGTGTAATGTCGAATACTGAATATTTATAAGTTACTTTACTGTGAAAAAAACCTATAAAAGGGCAAATTAATGAACAAGAAGTACAACTACTCCCATAAAGACAAAAAAATATTATAAAGATCATAAAAACTCCTACTGGATTAATTTAAGTGCTCAACGACTCTGCGAATACAGCAGTTAAACTATGTTTCATATGTATCTAAACTGTCAATAATCTTGACTACTGGGAGGAGTTCCGCGACAATTGTGTAAACTGTACATAAAATAATTTTATCAAGAATAGAATGAGCTTACATAGTCGCAGAGTGCTAATCCTAATAAACATGATTTATTATCTCAGCTGCCTTGGTAGCAATTGGAACAGTTGGTTCTATACATAAATGAAAATGTCTTGAAAACACACCTCATATTCCTGGGTAAGGACGTGGCAACGCCATCAGTCTATGGAGAGGTACTGGAAAAGGTTTGATAAGAATATATGTTATGTTGTTCAGTGAACTCCACCAAAGCTCATGCAGCTAAATGATAGTTAATGGACACTTGTTATATCAAATATTGACAAACAATAGTATTCAGTGTCTCAGTTCTACCTAACTTCCTTTTGAAAATGCTAATGAGGGTGATCGTATTTATTTTTTCAGGTAACCGTAGAGTACATTGATTTCTTCACTTATTTAGAACTTACTTTAGTTCTAATAGAGTATTATCTAAACAGGGATGAAATTATATTATTTAGTACTTAATTACATATGCTATATCTGCAGAAAGTAATAACATCTTAAGCTGCTTCAGTTTATGCAGCATTCTAAGTTGGGCTGTCTCTCTTTTCTCCAATGATCTAAAATGCATATTTTCAAACGATGCGGATGAGCAAATTATCGCAACATACATTTACTGCAATTCTTAATAGTCACATGCAAGACGAAATGACGAACAGCACCACGAAAAAATCTTAAGAACATATTAAATCCATCAGAAACACAATACAGTTATATTACCTGATAACAGTTAATATAACTGTACAACACTGTGTGATTTATCAAAATAAAATCTTAACCATTATGGAGTTATACTCTACCACAGTGCCCAAGTTTTATACTCATATCAAGAAACACAATGAGGTTCGCGATTATGAAGTTATTTTTTTACACTAATCAAAAAATGTCAAGTAGTAGAATTCAGTTTTCATTAATATGCAATAAAGTCACGTCGTTCAGTGGTATTCATATTGTGCCGAGTGCTACTGATAAGATTCATCAGTGGTATATAAATAGACGTTCATAGAAATAAAACATCAAATAGCAGGGAGATACATTTGATGTCAGAAAAGGTAAACGATACAGCGTTGTGGAGATACATGGGAGACATGAAAAGAACACAAAGGAACACAAAATGAAGACCAGAAGTACGACAACACGAAAACCCATACAAATGGTGCGTTGAAGATAAGGTGTACATAATTTCGCTATATGCAGATACCTGATTGCTATCTAACATTCCTTAACCAAGTCTTCATCTCTTACCGTTTTAATATTTCCTCCATGGTTAAAACATGTCTGCATTCCTGATTTTATTTCCTCACCATTTATTCCCCAGTACTTGTGTCATCACTAAACAAAAAAAATCTCTAAAATTTAGTTAACTTAGAAGTCGGCCTAGAATTGCTTTATTTCACGTTATTACACTTTGGAAACGCGAAATGAGAGAGTAAAAAAGAAATAATATTAGAGCAGGCAAACATGAATTTGAAGAACAATGTGATTAAATCAAGTCTGCATATTTTCCGCATGTGAAAAAGGATGAGTGACACTACCTGTGTCGTCACGAATGATTACGAACCACTTCATTAAGCATATCTAAAACTATAACCACACAACATTCAGTTTTCCATATGTACACCATTATAGCTTTATCATGAGGATTCTAATACACATAACGACGCTTAATTTTAATTAGATCAGCAGTTCGCACAACTTCTGTTTATTAGTAATCCCTGGCGTTCTGAGTGGAACACATGGCTTCAACAGCACATCTCCACTTCGTCATATTCTCTACGACACTCTAGATGGCCACTCGACTGCTCATAAGCTCTAATCTCCTCCTCACACGATTTCCTCCATGTCAACCTCGGACCTATCCCACCCCCTCGAAATAGTCTTTTCCCATTCGGGTTCCACTAGAGTCATGGCCTGACTTGTGATGTCAACCAAGGTCTCCCCAGTCTACATGCACTCCATCTTCATTTTGTTAGGAATATTTATTAATCAATGAGTCTTAGGTTGGTTGGTTCCCAGGGTTTCTTGTTGCTAATTCTATCTGGCCGGCCATTTGATCTTCATTAAGAAGCCAGCGGAGGCAGCTGTAGATAAAAGTCTGCAGTAACCTGTTGGGAATCCTCTTCATGACACGCAGTGCAAGTTTCTGGCCCATACAGAAGAACTGAATGACTTAACATTTGTGTTGAAAATCCGAATCTCGTTCTTTATGCTGAGGTGGAGTGCAGTGCAGAAGATTTCCAAACTGGTTTCAGGTTGATGAAGGCGTGTCTCGACTTCCCCTTCCTGACTGCCATTCACATCCTCATCCGTGTCGCCTGTCTGTAGTTGAAACGACGAAGCCTCGACAAGTGAAGTGATGGGCGATAGTGTTGGGTGCCGGTTGTTGTTGGTAGTGATGCTGAGTGGTTGATTGCTTGGTTATCTTCATCACCTCCGTATTCTCAATAATCACCTGGAGTCCTGTCTTCGCTGCCTACTTCTTCTGCCAGTTTCTTTCACTTCGCCTGTAAATCTTTGAGTTTGTGTGACATTGCACATAAATCATCCATGAAAT